GAAACGTAACAGACAAGAAAAAAAAAACGTATGCGAAACTAATCTATTGACTACTTATTCCATAAATCTTTTTTTGATTCAAACATTAATAATAAAAATTATATCGATATATATCGCAACAAACAATAAAAAAAAGTATCTCAAACCTGGTCAACTTTGTAACATCTGTGTTGTTTCTGTAAAAAAAAAAAAATAGCACCAAGTAATACAGTAATATAGTAACAATAATAAACTTTAATACTAATAAAAATAATTGTTAATAAACTAATGTTACAGTAATTTAAATAACGAGTTGGCTGGTTTTTTCTGATAAAAAGTTTGATTTTTATAAATAATATCATATCAATCAATGATAATTAGGCCTAGTTATATTAAATTTAGCATTTTCGCAACTCCATTGGCGCTCCATATATTTATTGAAAACAAACCGCGACCAAAATGAAGCGCGACCGAAACGAAGCGCGACCGAAACGAAGCGCGACCGAAACGAAGTGTGACTGAAATGATCTGTATTCGCCATGGTACATCTAAAGGCGCTAAATGCACTTCAGTTCTCCATCCAAACCTTAACATTAAGATAGTAGTAAGACTGGAGTTGAGGTGAATGTTACTGAAATAGTAATAAGTATAGTAGTAAATGTCTACAGTTGTTTATTTACTTTATTTATTATTATCATTTTCATAAATATAGGCCTAAGCTAGGCCTGGCCTAGGCCATATCCTACAGGCTATATATATATATTTTTTTATGAATAGGCTGGCCTACCTAGGCCTAGGGCATATCTATAATAATAAAACATTGTTATTTTGCTTTATTATCCACTGACATTTAGTTCTGTTATATTAATCGTAGTTGCATTTTTTTCTTCACAATTGACTTTGATTTGATTTTTTCTCTTTTGGATGCACCATTATTTTGGATGTGTGCCACTGTAATAAGTGATTTCAATAAAAAAAAAAGAAAAATTAGGCCTATGACTGTGTTATGTAGGCCTACTTATTTATTTACTCCTTTTTCAGGCTTTAGGCCTACCATATATGTACGGTAGGCATAGAAAAGGAAGGTTAAGATTTAGGCCAATCATTGCCTTATATTCATTAATATATAATATGCTGAAACTACTGTATCCAATGCCTTACAATTCTTACTCCATGTGTGACTTTACTGATTAATATTATTTCTCCAGGTATAAAGGTCACTGTCCTACTCTCAAATATGATTACGGTGAGACGTACAGCAATGCAACTGCCAAATACTTCCAAGATTATCGCTCCAAGACATTGAACACAAGCAAAACTAATTACTCCAGTGGTGGCCAATTCCCTACTGTTTACACGCACAACCCCGATCTGGTGATACCAAACAGAGAGAGGACAAGAGAGAGATGGAGAAGTGCACCTACGTACTCGCTAAATAATGTTCAACATGACAGGCAAGATGAACTGCAATCATTTGACAAGGTAAACATTTTTACAATTACAACCCAACATAATGAATTTGGTTTATCATTCTATCAGTGCATTTGAAAAGTATCTGCATCCTATTCTCGTTATAGTTTTACAAGGTTTTGTACAGCGCTGATATCCACGGCAGAATGCAATGTTCAGTGGCTCTATGACAATTGTATTACTCAAAGTGCACATTAACTACTGATGTTATTAACAATACTATATATTATTAATGTGTGTCAAAAAAAAACTTTACTCAAATCAAATTGGAATTGATTAGATACTTATTATTGTTGTCTTTATTATTTATGACTACATTGCCTTATAGCTTGCCCAACAGCACAGAGACTACTACAAAGACAGAACTGGGACTGTGCCACGAGTTGATGAGTTTTTGATTCCAAAGAAGGCAGAGGATATGTACCGACAAGATGTTGGACAGTAAGTGACAAGTTTCATGACAACATTTCGCACAACCAATGAATAGACATGCTGAACAACGTTTATTATTTTTTATTACAACATTTGTTGATAATTAATCATGAATACATTACATCATTAACATAATTCATTATTGGATTAATAAGTTTATTATCGTAGTGAATTCCAGGCTTTAAAAACAGGGTGGCACAAACTGGTTGGGTATGCCTTTTTTAAGAATCGGTTAAACAGAGAGTTCAATGAGTACTTACCGGTAATATGAAAGGGACTTTTATATTATGTATTATTAATAATAATAATATTCAAATTATTAAGGGACTCTATGTTACAGAATTTTTATTTTGGAATAGGGAGGGGCGTCTTCATTAATGTTAAGTTAAGTAACCTAAAAACTAGAGGAGTTGATAGAATAAACGGTAGTGACAAATTGGGATTGAAGTGCCAGCTAATATTTATGCTTCGTCACAACCCCATTGCACTGGACATATTCCACTGCATATGTGCTCCCTCTACACATTTTTTTTTAAGCATTTTATTTTTGTGTTGATGTGCTGTTTATAACATATTATTTTTGAATTGTCTGTTGTGAAAATGAAGTTGGTAATTGCGGTGATGCAGCCTCCTGCTGAAAATCATGATGCGTAAGTGATGACAAAATGGAAAAGCTTCCACATCTAAACATTTTATGCATGTTAGCTAGTTGCTGATTCTTTGCATACTGTATATAGAGCATTTCTAAGCTTCGAAAATTTTGCTATAAATCTAGTCTTTAACTAGACTGCTTGCATGCTGTTGCTTTTTGTTGATGCTTCACTTTTTATATGTTTCATTTCATAATATTATAATACTGTTTGTGGTAAGATCGATAAAATCCTTCAAAAATGGAATTAAAACATTGATTTACTCTGTTATCATCTTCCAATGACAAACAGATCAAAATAAGTAGGTTTTCTATGATTTACAGACTTTTACTACTAAAATCATTTAATTGTTAACACAATCAATTTTCCAAAGTATATGGGAACAGTATTATTTTATTGGTGGAATTTGTAATTAAACTATGCATACTTTACATTAATATATAGTGTTTAAATATATTAAGCTAGCAAATTAAATATTTAATCTCAGCACAAACAGTATTTAACAGGGTATTACATTAAATTTGTTGAAAAGGTAATCAAATGTAATAATTAACCAAGAAATTATTTATTCATAGTAAAATAGCATGACCATCTACTTGTTTTTTGCTTTAAGCTAAATTCGTCTTTTCTCCTTAACATTCTATTTTCTCTACCATCTTCTTCCAATTGTTAATACCCAAAAAGTTCTTTCCACAGAGTAAAGCTTTACTCTGGTTAAGATATCTTTCGATGTCAGGAGGCAAAAAAACCCCACAATACTTTTAGTCTAATAAAGACTTGTAGTAAATTTCTATAGAAAAATCATTGATCTTTATATGTCCTGTTCCACCAATCACTTGCTATGGATGTCAATGAAGTAATGAAACCACTCACAAGTGAGTCATTCCTTACCTAGTGAAATCACTTGTGACCTAGATCACCATCAGGTTTTGATGAAACTTTAAATTGTTCCTAAAGCCAGACACTCTTTGCATCGTACAACAAATCCTCCGCTCTCTGTGACCACTAGACTATGTGACGCTGTCTACTAATTTTCGGTGGCAGTCTGAACCAGTCATTAAAAACGAATTGTTGCGCACATTGTAGCGTTGCGTTCTCCATAGAATTGCGTATATTGATAGAATATTGTGTTAATTATAGAAAGTTGATTATGTTTTACTCATCTCTGTACTCCATGATTTTAGCTTTAGTGTTTGGTACTAATTTTTAGATATGATATGTTATATTTGTATTTCTACTTAACATATTCATATTATATGCATTTCTTTAGTTATACAGTAGTATATAAATCTTAATTTTTACAAATAACACCGTAGTTATAGTATAGGTGACTCTCCATTACAAAATGAGTTGTGTTGCACGTAGAGAAATGCCAAAATAGATTGTTTTTTGTATTATTTGTTTTTTTTTTCTTTGTTGATTCAGTTGATTATAATTAGTTATTGCTTATAATTCTTCTAAATAGCAATGCAATCTTCTGTACAGAATTATAAATTCTGTAAAATTTGTTGAGTTACCATTATGATGGTCATTGTTTTCATGATCATAATTGCTTACATTAAAAACCTAATGAAATTGTTTGAAGACATAATTGCTTAATAGTATTATTGTTATCATCTTTATAGTAATTGTCATTTCATAAGTGTTTTATTAATGAATATTAGTGACTGCAAATATTAAATTTATTTTGCAGCGTCGAAGAACAGATGAATTTGCTGGCTGAGGCAGACACAAGAGCTGCGAGTAACAAGTCGGTACTGCGAACTCCGACTTTAAATACTCCCAACAGTCGTGATTCATCGGTTAGAGATCGTGCAATGCGTGACCTCCACTTTGAAAGACGCTAAACTGTGTTTTTCGTTAATTGCCTATTTGTATTATTGTTTATTAGGCTTTAATGTAGTATCATGCAAAATTCAAAATAAATTGTCATAATTATATAGATCTGATTTCAATGCGGTTTCTTAGTTTTATTAGTAGTGAATAAATGAATGATGATGTGCACATTAAGAGGATAAATTTAATGTTAGTGTAACAATTGTGATTACAGTATAACATATATACCGCATACATACCAGGTTGAATGATAGTATTATCGTGCTGTACTTTTTTCCTATCGTAATGTCATGGTCACTTTGTAATTTACAACTGCAGCCTCTACGACGAGAGATTGGCCCTCTGACTTATTTGTGGGTACTCTTCATTACTTTTGTTAGGCCTCGTAGAATCTATGTATGAGGTATATAAAAACAAATACTGACTGCTCAAGATTTGGTGATGTGGAGAGAGCAGCCTTCTGGTGGCCCTCATGAAAATAGTAGGCTACGATTTCCACGTCACCCTAGAAGCAATAAATTTCACTGTTCAGTCAGTATTTGTATACTATACAAATATTCTATGTCTACTATAAATATGCATGGTATGCTCATTTGCTTGAAACCTGGAGTGCCAATCTTTGCTTGTGTTCTTCACTGCTCTAATTGTTTCCTTCTTTAGAATTGAAGATAAGCTGTTGGTTCCATTTTGTACATAATGTCTGTGCACATAAAAAAAAAATGTGTACACTAGTGAAAAAAATATGGAATTGTCTCCCGATGCTTCAGCCGATTCATATCAGTACTGTCATGTGTGTGTACACGTTTGTGATATAATGTAATTAGGTTTGCCACATATACAAATGACTGTCATTACAACAGAAACAACGATGGAACTATTAATATCAAACCACTATCTTTCTTACATCTTTTTATTTTCTTATGAAAGTAATTTGGCCTATAAAAACAATCATAAATATACAAGAAGAATACACCCCCAAAACTACACAATTTCCTACAAAAACAATGCTTATATCAGATGGCTTTATCCCCCATCATAGTACATGATATTCAAGGTGTTAAAAACAACAAAACCCTAATTTAATCAAATTATGACCTTTGAAAAATGTGAATTATGAGTTTGATCCTACAGTGTGTATCTACAGTCCTCCATGCATCCATGTAATAAACCAATGTTGCCAAATGTAGGAACTTTCCCTCAATTTTTTACCAAATTTTACAGACTACTATTAAAAACTTAATTTATATATTTTTAACATCTAAAGCTCATCATGGTAATTGCCCTTCCAACCGAAGTATGTAGCAATTTTACCACCGACATCGCGTTCACGTCTGACGTAGTGAGAGAAGGCAGAGACACAGTTACCAACGAAGTGATCAGATTGGCTAAGAATATACATATCAATCTCTGGTTTTTCTGGGTCAAGATGCTTAACTTCGATCTGTAAAATAAAAGTAGAAAACTTATTTATCTGCTAAATGACAAAGACAGGTTATTGTAAAACAAAAATACCAGCTGTAGGCCAAGTAACTTGAAGTACAGTGCATAACAATTGCTCAACTTACTTCTGGGAAAGCCTCTGTTAACTCGTCAACCATGGGTTCATGATCAGTGGCAACGAAGATTGTTTTAGGTTGCTCCTTTCTGACAATATACTTCAGTTCCTTAATGACTTGTTCCTCCGACTGGATGCACATCTCCATGGTGATTGGAGCCGAGTTGTCATGGCGAACACCGGTACATTGCCTAGATGACATGAGTTGGTGGTATGAGCCATCAGCCAATTCACAAGTACGGACCTTTTAAAAAAAACAAGATGTTTAAGAATATAATATTTCTCAACAGGTCTATGTAGAATGAAATAATTATGGAGGCAGAGCCAATAATTTGGTTGGGGGTAGGCCATTTTTTCAAAACGTCTTTGTTGGAATTGAGGCCATAAGTAGATTACATATTACTAAAAGTATTCTATTTGACAAAAATAATCAGAAATGAAGTTAAATAAATATAAATAATAATAACACATTTTGTATAGCCAATCAGATCTAAAGGGAATATAACTTAATTTGCATTCAATGCATAATATTTACATGTCTTATTACCTAATCATATATTAATAAATGTATTAATAAAATTTATTAATATATTTTGTATAAAGGTTGACAAACGCATGCAGTTAAATCAAAAGGAAAATAGAAACATTTGTATGTAAATTAATGGCTGCATAATAGCAGAATTCTACAGTCAGTAACACAGACATTTCAGCCAATCAGCATTCAATGCATAATATTTACATGTCTTATTACCTAATCATATATTAATAAATGTATTAATAAAATTTATTAATATATTTTGTATAAAGGTTGACAAACGCATGCAGTTAAATCAAAAGGAAAATAGAAACATTTGTATGTAAATTAATGGCTGCATAATAGCAGAATTCTACAGTCAGTAACACAGACATTTCAGCCAATCACCATCCAAAGAAAAATAAAGTTATATTCAAATTCATCTATGCATGCATAATATATTATATTAACATTTGTTTTGTACAGATGGAGCAAATAAATTATCATACCCAATCAGCACCATTTCTAAGATGAATTCCAACATAGGGTCTTTGCAGGTGCTCTGCGATGTGTTTCTCTCCTTCTTCTGCTATTCTTGGTTGCCACTCCAAGTACTCTTGTAGTCCAGCAGGGACATCAGAAAGTGGACTGATAGCAGGGGCACTCATGAAAGCTATTACTGGGTACTTAGAAGGTGGATATCTATAAAAAGAACATCATCTCAAACATAGAATTGCATTTCTCAAGTTTTCATGATCAACATCCTCAGGTGAAACTTTTTTTATACCTTGTTTATAGTGAACCCGCCGACCGCCAATAATGGTGATTTTGAATACAAATATAAAATTTCATTAACAAAAATAAAATTATATAGCCTCCGCTCATTTGAAATCCCCAAAAATAAGAAAACAATTTTTTTTCCCTGCCCTCCCTGGCTTTCTTTAAAAAAAAAAAAGTTTGAAAAACAAGGTATAAAAAGTATAAAAAATAATAGTATGTTGTTAAAAAAATTGTCTGTGAGAATTATATGAAACGACCAAGGCATTTGTCAATACTTGATAGTGTGAGTACAGTGCTTTAAAAGAAAAAAAGAAATAGGTATGAAAGTATGAGGAACTTACTCTTTTTCCCAGTTCTCTTTCCATGGTTCATATTCAACATTAAAATGCAGGTCTCCTTCCCAGATTAAGGAGTCATCAAATTTGATGTCAAAATGGTCCCAGAACTCGGAGAATGGATTTCCAGACTGCAATACACAAAATAACATGTATTGATTGGTAACAAAAAGATCAATTATTCGTTGATCAATTGCACAGTTTATCTTATCATTTGTAGCTCCTCATCTTCATATATCATTATCATCATTACCATCATCATTTGATTTTATTTACACAATTTTAGCACACAAAAATTAAAAGAATAAAAGCAAATTTAAACAAGTTATAAATGCCAAGAATTGTCAAAACCTAACTCAATTCCCCTTGAAAAATTAATGATAATAATAATAACAATAATAATGATAATTATATCTTGAATTTATATGGCACCAATTCCAAACAAGATCAAAGGTGCAAGTAATAATAATAAAAATACAAAAACAAATTCAAACAGATGTAGTTAAAATGCATTATAAGATAAATAGAAACAGAACTATTTTACTTTACAAATAACTTAAGTTACTTTAAAAAACTTACCCTTGGACAAGCGCCCTCATTGAACTCGGCAGCCCTTGACGAGCAGTAAGCAAAACGCTGACCAGGCGCCCAGTTTACTGGTGCTAGGTTATCCATAAAATCATGCATTAGAATCACATCAGGGTGATACTCCTTCACTTTGTCCAGATTGAAATAATTATCAAATGGAACATATATCTGAATGAAATAAAAAAAAAATAAAAAAAAAACCCATAAAAATAGTTTCAACAATTTATATTTTGTAGATGAGGAGTTATTATAATAAGACAATAATAATAACATGATAAAACTAAAGTGTCAGGAAGGTGAGATTCAAAGTCAAAATTAATTTGCATGCTCATATACAGTATCCATAAATTTATAACTTGAAAGGTAATAGACCTATGTACATATAGAATACTGAAAGGGAATGTCTCTGCAACGGCATTTCCATTAAGCTAGGTAGTCTAGCATTGTTGAGTAGCTTTTACGTCTTTGTATTTCTTAACAATAGGTCTGAATCATATGCATACAGAAAGGTTATCCAAAGAAAGGAGGTACTGATGCATGAGGATTATGGGATATTATGGTAGCCAGCTAACCAATCAGATAGTAACACATCTTTAAAGTCATTTATAAATGTTTCTGTTGTGCATTGTAAGCTGGAGCATGTATTGTTGCTTATCTACAAGGTAAAGTGGGATCATACTATGTACACGTGTTGCTAGGTCCACCTGCTGATATACCAAATAACAATATTTAGGGAGGCTATACGTATACAAACAAGTCCTTGGGAAGTTACGCCAATACATTCATTTAAAATAATATCAAGCATATAATATAAAACAACTGACTGAATAAAAAGAAATGAAGATCTATAGAATACAGAGATATCTTACATTTGGAGTATCATGGCCCTTTTCATGTTGATAAGATATAAATGGAGGAATGACTAGAACTCGCCCAATTTTTTGAGCAAAGTGAAATGCTCCTAAGAACTGGTCTACTTGGCTACCAAAGCGTCCTGAAATAAAACAAATTCATTTCTTTCAATAATTTAAAAATAAAGTTTGACCCGATTTCAGCTCTTTCTTTGGCAACATAAGTGGAACAGTTCCAAGGAGCAGCTGAAATTTTAATCAAAAAAGAGTCAGAAACAAATGAAAATGACTCTGGAAGGAAAGAATTATACAAATCTTTCTTTTAAACATATTTAAACAATAGTATTAATTTTCTTTCAGGAGTGGATAACAAAAATTACATCTGTATTACTAAGTTATTAAATTTGTTTATATTTTTCTTTCCACAGTGTCAATTCCATTGCTTTCCTCGTGTTTTCAAGATATCTTACATTTGGTTGAAGATGTGTGGGAAGGCTGATACCATGCCCATGGTGTTTTCTTCCGCAAGGATAATTAATATAGGGAGGAATGACAAGGACTCTATTAATGCCTTTAGCAAAAGAAAGAGCTCCAAGGAACTGTTCCGTCTGTCCTGAGAATCGGCCTAAAGCAAGCAAATATAATACATCACAACAAATTAAAAATATGCTGTACAATGATATCAATTATTAATCGCACCACAGGACAGCCAGATTTCTTTACAAGTACTTGAATTTATGATGAAAAATAGTTATGAAATTTAATCATTTTAAAACACCTACAACAGAAAATTTAGTAAATATATTAAGCACTTTATATGAATAGGACGCATATTAAATTGAAACAACTATGTACAGTATGCTGCCCAAGGCCGTCGTTGGTACCCACTAAACGCGATGTACGCCCATTACACTTTTAGCCAATTACGTCGCTTTATTTTGGCCTTGCTTCACCTGTGCTTGCCAGAAGCCATGCAGCTAAGTTTGTTGATTGTGGCTTATACGCATTCAATAAAATATTTATTATGGCTTAATATTAAGTCCTTGATCGTCTATTGCTAATGTTGGACGTTACTGTAGCATAAAACTAGTTATTACGCATGGCAGCCTCAATGGGGCAAAACTTTTATCAAGGCGTAGGCCCTACCAACCGTCTGTACGCGAACTCAAGAGACCTAGGCTTAGGCATGCTTAAGTTCTACATGATAGGATAATTTAGTCGTGCTTACCCATACAAGGACAGTACATTACGTAGCCTTTAGGATCCCATTCATGTTGAACATTTCTTCCACAGCAGATTTTTAATAAAACAACTAAAAGTAAACTGGTTTTGAATCCAATCGAAGCCATTTCACACCAAGAACACTTATCACTCCTACAGTGACCACGGGCTGAATGCAACGATCTCTCCAAATTATCACCACGTAAGTTATTGGAAAATCATTCATAAGACTCCAGTTAAATTAGCATAACTAAACGCATTCAACCAGACGCCTTTTGTAATCAAAATTCCTTTTCAATGGTTTTTTGTTCACCTTCACCGCACCTTCTTAAACTTGTAAACCAGGGTGACCAACGTTTATTCTCCACGTGTACTATGTGGCAATGGTGTTAACAATAGGTACCGTTAGGTACAATAAGAACCACAATCTCCCTTTCCTGTTACGATGACGTGTAATACTTCTCTCCCTAACAACATTTTATATATAAATAGACATGCGCATTGTCCTTTGTAAAATTATATATTAATGTCGTGATTAAAAAGACAGTCATGAAAATAAATATTACATTAGTAAGACACATCGATATACATTGACAAGGCAACCGTAGGCCAAATGTGTATATAGAATATTAAAATCAACAATTGATGCTAAACAGATGAATAGACATAGGCTACGGATAATAAATAATTTGTATGCCTTTATTATAATATATGATATATGACATGATATAATAATTGAATGAATGATGTAGCGGCGTAGGTGAAAACGGGTCCCAGTGCAAGATAGGGGTGGCGCCCGTCGGGGAGAAAAAGCACAATTCGTCGGGGAGTATAAAATATTATATGTATTTTTTACACATTAGTAGACTCTAAAATCGATTAAATAAGCCTTTGAAACCCCTAGATTGTCGAAATTTTCGGGGGCTTCACCCCCAGGACCACTTTCTAAGCCTTTTAATCGAAGCTCGACCACGCCCACTTTGCTTTCGTCGGGGAAACCGGACACCTCGTCGGGGGCCCGGTCGGGCAAATCCTGGCGCCACCCCTGGTGCAAGATTAATTGCAGGTCCCTTTGATGTGAAGCGTCAACCAAGGCCGTAGGTCCTTAGTTACAGCTAGTGGGGGCGCTGGGAGCCGTCAAATTTCCCCGCCCGGTGGGGTGGGGGAATCCCCGAAAGCTTTAACGTTTTAAATTTTCAGGAGCCGTATTTTGAATTAATTTTTAAAGAATGAAAATTCTAAGACTAGGAAACTGATTCACGTTTTCAGAAAAGTAGTGCTTCTTTTCTATTTAACCCATACCCATGGCATAGGATACAAATAAATGCTATAGAATAATAATCTTTCGTAACTATTTAAAGAGGGGCCTATGCGGTCTCAGCAGTTCCAACCTAATCAAGAAAACTGGTGGCACGTAAAATTAAACAATTGAAATGAACACAGCAATCAATAATTATTCCTCTAAAAATACGGTACATGTACAAAAATACGGTACATGTTATTGAGGGGACCACTGGAATTTTTTTCTTCAAAAATATTATCAGTAGGAAATTATTTAAAATCATTTTTATGCCCAGTATCAGCCCCTGACAGCCGCTTTGCACTCACTTCTGCCCATCCAAGGCACTGGAATGACGGACAATTGTATCAAAGTGGTGTAAAAAAATATAAACAAATATTTATTTATTTGAGTGAATGTTGTTTGCACGATGATCATTTGAATTAAGACATGTTTAACACATGTAAAATTTACTCATATTACACTGCTAACAACGTAGGTTATCGTCGTCCCGGTATCATCGTGATCGTTACCATCGGGATCGTCATCGTCATAGCCATCCCAGGGTGAAACAATTGTTTTTAAGCAAATAGGCCTACCGAAGACGAATACTGACGTATCGAATACTTACGTATTCGTGTGCGTGAATACATACATATATGCACTTTATCACTTAGAAATTTAATATACAGAAATCCGTGATTTGTTGGGGAAATCGACATTTCCTATTCGTCACTAATTTTAGAGAGGTATATTTAGGCTGACGACGTTACAATTTCTCTCAACAAACAACAGACAACACAATGAACATCGTCTCTGTATCTTTATTTGACTTTATCAACAGAACTTCTAACATTATGATATACACCTATAATTTTATATTATTTCCCTCCTTACTAACAGTATTACCCATCTCTTGTCAAACCGCCCATGATTTATTACCCTCACACTCTGTTAACCCACTGCTATTACCCCTCCCTTTATCAAACCCAACCCATTATATGACTTCCTGTCATGCACTTTCATTACCCTCTTTCTTGTCAATGACACTGATATTTTCCATCCACATGTACTATAGTCACTCTCACCCTCTTATTACCCTCCCTTTGTTGTCAAGCACACCCTCATACTATTCCTCCTCATATTTTAAATCCCCGCTGTTACCCCTCTCTTCCTCTCCATACATTATATTTCACCTTCCCTTGTTGCAGCCACACTCTCATATAACCCCTTCCTTCTTTTTTAATCACAGCCTCTTATTAAACTTCACATTGCTGGCAACCCCATCGTCTTACTACCTTTCACTTTGTTTTAAATCGCACGTTTTTTATTACCCCATACATATAAAAATGCTATTGTGCTGTTATTAAAGTTTACAGTATAAGTAATATTATACCTTTCATAATACCCTATGAAAATAAACACAAAAAGTCAAATTAGATTGTTAAAACTTGTTCTCCTTTACATAGTAGGCCTATATAATTAGCTGTGATGATACGGTCTCTAAATATTGAGAATTTATTATTTATTTTATCAATGCCATATAGAAAACCAAGTGTTGCATCATGGAGCCTGGCTGGTTCCAGTCAAAAAAAAAAATGTACACAGACCAATAGAAGCGTATATGCATAACACAGACTAGCATTGATTGGGGAGCCAATCAGGTCTGACTGTGCTCTATGTAAAATGTTTTAAACAATCTTATAATAGATTTAAAACACAACTTTTGTATAGCCAATTTTTTTTCTTCTAAAAAACAAAAAAGCTACTTTAATCACAAGGTATAAATATTAGGGGAAAATAAGTTGTTTATTACGATGGACAAGGAATCTATAATTACTCACACTTCAGTACAACACACAAACAAAAACTAATCTTCATTTGGAATACATTAACATCATTGCAAATAAAACAAAGGACGGATTGTGAATAGATATATATTATCTTACAAATAATACAAGTAAAAATTGGTGCAATACAAACAATTAACAAATTACTGTATAACACAGAGTGATGGATCTAAGTAGGAGCAGGAGGGACAGATGCCCCTTTAAATTTACTGACAAATAAATACATTTTAAAACTTTGGCCATATCCAGATATTTCTGGTAGGGCAGTAGAGGGCCATGACCTAAGAGGGATGATTTGGGAAGGGTGCTTCCCCCCTATAATCACTGCCATTTCTAGTAGGGCAGTAGAGGATCATGACCTAGGAGGGATGGTTTGGGAAGGGTGCTTCCCCCCTATAGTCACTGCCATTTCTAGTAGGGCAGTAGAGGATCATGACCTAAGAGGGATGGTTTGGGAAGGGTGCTTCCCTCCCTATAGTCACTGCCATTAGCCAGAGTTTTAGTCAATATCTAAACAGTATTTCACAACAGTAACGCATTGAAAGCATAATAAATAATAAAAATATTTAAAGATTACAGTATTTTTCATATCAAAACTTGAGTTTTATATATTTAAAGATATGCCAGATAAATACATCTTTAGGTAAACATTATATAGCAAAATTAAGTACTACTCTTATATAGACAATATTTTCTAGTATTTAATGGCAAACATCAATACAGTAAACAAATGAATTATTAATGAGCAGGAATAATGGTGCATGGTATGAATGGTTCACAATATCATGGTGCAGACGGTCCATGGTACATCACTACTAGGAATGGTCCATGATGATACAGGGAATGAAAAATCCAAGGTATATAAGGTCCATGTAACATAATGTCTATGGCATGGTTCAGGTGGTCAATGGTATGATACCAGGGCACAAATTATTCAAGGTATACCAGTATTATCTTTAATTATCACCAGTGGAGGTGGAGTGGAGGTAAAATTTATGAGATATTCAAGGTACAAAAATGCATGTGACCATAGTATAATCCATGATATAAGTAGTTTGGATTGCACATGCCAGGAATGATTGTCGCAGAGTACTAATGTGGCACAATCCCATGTAATGCAGTGAACAAATACACAGTTATACTTTTGTCAGATGATTTATAGTAAATGAACCATAATAAGAATACTAAAGCGCTAACTCCAATGTATTCGATGTTCGAAATATGCAGAGCTGTGTGTTGTATACCATACAAGATGGCTGTCGTATTTTCTGCCAATTAAAATACACAAAGCATTGTAGCTGAAATGAGCATAATTTAGTCAAAATATATGAATTGTTAATTTTCAGCCCTGACAACTTGAACGACAACGCAAGTATCTGTGTTACCATTTCATAGTTTTCAATTGTCCTAATGTGCTGGCTTTAACCGTCCCATATGACTGGCTGTAGCTGCCTAGCGCTGACTTCGGAGCTCCAGATGAACCTGTGTTTTTCAATCCGAATTGTTTGCGTCCATAGGAGACAGTTCTCTGTTGCTGTTGCCTGCTGGAATCCTTAGCTGAGATGGGTCTTTGTTGTGGAATCTATAATTAAATTTTTATTAATCAATCAATTAATTCTATTGATGTCAGAAACAGCATGTAAAAGCTGGCTAAATCTCTGAATTAGTACCACTACTACTTTATTACTTTCAAATGCACCCTCAATACAACATAATTAAAAATGATACAATAAAGTAAGGTTAGAACAGTTCAGGCAATACATTACACCACACACCAAATTATTTCAACTGTGCATGAGTAAAATGTAGACATACCACTTTAGAGGTTTTCATTCCTAAACTCTCATTGCTTGATGTACCCCTATCACTGTCTCGTGTGATTGTTGCATTCTTCATACCGGCTGAAAAAGAGCGGGTTCGTTGATGCACAACTGGTTTTCTTGCAGACCGATGAGTGTTCTCATTTGCATATCCATTAACCTGAAGGTATAAGTTAAAACAATAAACATTTAAGTTTACTGGTTGAAATAAAATAATTTTCCTAAAGACATGTTGTAGAAGTCCAGGTTAAATTTCATTCATATCTGGTAATTCTTAAATTGCATGCTCCAGTGGGCATTGTTTTGCCAATTATGGTAAAGGCAGTGAAATTACTACTGAAGTTGATGCCAGTTAAGCATACAGACAAATCCACTACACTTTGCTTTTCAACATGTAATTACACACATATGATGATGCACATTGACTTACTATGTTTCCACCTTCTTTAGATTGTTGGCTAGTTACATAATCCGCAACCCTAGATGATCTGTGCACGTTTCCTATTGTCGCATATTGATTTCGATTTGTACGACCTGCAGAAAATAATTTGTTCATCAGACTGATTGTAATTGCAATCATGTATGTATGTATATTATATATAGAGCATAATGCCAATCAGTGGCGTATATCTAGAAGTCTTGAAATGGGGGAGTGCTGATGTAGGATGCAAAGATGTAATGGGCGGGGGACTCGATGATCAGTTGAGGGGCGCTAATTCGCAAAATAAGGTGATTTTAGGTCATTTTTAACTACTTGACTGTGTTTTTTTTGGGGGTGGGGGCGACAGGGGAGTAATTTTTGGGGGAGCGTGCGCCCCCGAGCATCCCACTAGATACACCACTGATGGCAATACTTGTGGATGGAGAGAGGCAACCTGAAGAAAGTGCCCTGCCTTGGAAAAACAAATGGCTACCATGATTTCCAGCAGCATGACCAAATATAAATCTAAAGCGATGTGAGGACAAGAAGATTAGGTAGTAGTTACTGTAGTAACATAAACTATAAACAAAGTGAATGGCAATTAACATAAATGTAAAGACAAACTCATTATTTTAATATTCAAAATGAGGATTGAAACATTAACTAAAGTAATGTGATCATGATATAGCAAAGCATTTGTTAGCAGGTAGTTTAGTGTCATGATTTGTAAATAATACAAATCAGCTGTGCGCTGATGAAAGCACTCGCTGTCAGTTAAAGGTATTAAGGAGAAGGCAAATAAGAATATATTTTCTCATTACAAGTCCTAATCATGTAAGCATAGAATATTTAAGCAGTAGAGTAGTGGTTATATATCTGTGAGTGTGGTATATACTAGGTGCAGTACTAATGCAAAATATTGTCTACAAAGGGCTAAACCAGAAGCTTTTGATGACAATTTAGTACTAGTAAGCACTTACATTTTAATAAAATATCTACAGCATGCACAAATTGATTTAGATATTACAATACAGTATATATATATTTTTTAAATTTTTTTTCTTCTCTGTTGTTGTTAAGCGCCTCGAGGTTGTGTCAACATGAGGCGCTATATAAATCCAGAATTATTATTATTATTATTATTATTATTATTATTATCATTATTATTATTATATTTTCAATCTATTTTAATATCCAATGATCAATTGCTCTACAACCCAAGCTTAGTACTTATTCCTTTTGTTTCTCAAGGAACTGCCTACAATCCTATAGCACAACTGATTGGTAATGATGTATCATAAGAAATCAAATTTGGTAGCAGAAAGCCTCTATTTAGGATGCAATTAAATAGGATACTTTGCTTTCTAAATCCCTGATTTTCTATAAATTTTATTAGTTTCTATAATATATAAACCATCTACAGTATTATTAGGTGAGATAAGTTTGAAAATGGCAATTCTCAGGCGAAGGTTAATGAATTTGCTTATTGCATAATCAAGGTAATCACCTGGCAAGAGTGAGGAAGAACCGTGGTAAGGATGTTTGGAGTTGCCTAAAGGTTGACGCACCGTGTTGGCACACAACGGTGGTCGTTGCAATTTACGTTCTGGAGTTTTGGAAACACAAACAAGCAAGACCACAGCAGATAAGAAATCAAAACATCATTAATTTATGTTACAAGATCAATCATACAGAAACACATTGATAATTAAAATAACTGAAAATTGAATCGGATTTTGTCATATAGATGTAGTTCATGCTGTATGTCACTGTGTCAAGTACAGTAGTATGTGCTAGATGTCATTGTCACCAATACTTAAGTACCTGCTTGATGTCATTGTCACAAATACAGTAGTACATGCTAGATGTCATTGGCACAAGTAAAGCAGTACATGCTGTATGAGATTGTCACAAGTAAACCAGTACATTCTAGATGTCACTGTCACAAGTACAGTAGTAAATGTACTAGATGTTATTGTCACAAGTACAGTACCTGTAAATGCTAGGCAATGTCAAAAGTACAGTCAATGCCAACAAGCTACACACCATTGCCACAAGTACAGTTGTACATGCTGAATGACATTGTACAGTAAGATGATAAATTTCATAGTCACATGTATAATTTGTGATTGTCACAAATAGAGTAGCAGTATGCTAAACAACACTAGGCATTTTTTGTTTTGACTACGCAGACAATCTACTACGAACTAATGGACCGTGACGGCAACGCCAAGACACTCTTCGCGTTCTCACTCTTTTAGGGTGACTACGACGACGCAGCACACATACACACGGAGGAGAGTTAGACGTCAACCATGGTTTTATTACCAGGGAACATGGTTCCCTTGTTTTATATTTTAAAAAGGGAAATGTGAAAAAAAACTTTAGTCACTATTCCCTGATTTACCTAATTTTATGTTGTGACTTATAAATATTCATTTATTGTACATGTATAAATAGGCCTTCATAAAACATTTAATTACTCACTTGTTTTTAATTCATTATTGAACGAACAATGCTCGATTGCGGATGCGATGAAAATTGCAACCCACAACAAAAAAATTACCAGCAGTTTTGCCAAGCAATCTGGTGATCTGTAGTACATGCTAGATGTCATTGGCACAAGTAAAGCAGTACATGCTGTACGAGATTGTCACAAGTAAAGCAGTACATTCTAGATGTCACTGTCACAAGTACAGTAGTAAATGTACTAGATGTTATTGTCACAAGTACAGTACCTGTAAATGCTAGGCAATGTCAAAAGTACAGTCAATGCCAACAAGGTACACACCATTGCAACAAGTACAGTCGTACATGCTGAATGACATTGTACAGTAAGATGATAAATTTCATAGTCACATGTATAATTTGTGATTGTCACAAATAGAGTAGCAGTATGCTAAACAACACTAGGCAATTTTTGTTTCGACTACGTGGACAATCTACTACGAACTAATGGACCGTGACGGCAACGCCAAGACACTCTTCACGTACTACACCAAGAGCTGTTCTCGCTCTTTTAGGGCGACTACGACGACGCAGCACACGTACACACTGAGGAGAGTTAGACGTCAACCATGGTTTTATTACCAGGGAACACGGTTCCCTTGTTTTATATTTTAAAAAGGGAAATGTGAAAAAAAACTTTAGTCAAATACTGTAGACAAAATAAAAAGTTTTCAGAAAAACTGAGTGATGTTTCGCTGTTGGCTAGGATTCAGGCTAGGCCTAACCTAGGTAGGTGTCAAAAGAGTCGCGGACCGGGAGAAGAGGGGTGTCAAGCCTGCTCAGCCAATTTGCCAAAGGCAACGATGATGTACAAATAAATGTACATAACAATTTTAAAGAGAGGTATTTTTATAGGCCAGCAAGGCTACTGTGATCCACAATATCAAGGGCGCAGAGGCCCTAGCTAGGTGACACCATATAATGTGTTTTCTCCCACCAAAAATCCACCTTGACAAGGCTTGGCTAGGCCTAAGCGTAAGGCCCCTTTTTCACTATTCCCTGATTTACCTAATTTTATGTTGTGACTTATAAATATTCATTTATTGTACATGTATAAATAGGCCTTCATAAAACATTTAATTACTCACTTGTTTTTAATTCATTATTGAACGAACAATGCTCGATCGCGGATGCGATGAAAATTGCAACCCACAACAAAAAAATTACCAGCAGTTTTGCCAAGCAATCTGGTGATCTGATTGGTCAATATTAGGGTAGTCGCCACTACGCCAAATTCAGAAATTGGGGTAGTTGCGGAAGCTATCACAACGCCGATTTAGTCAGTAAGGTTTGTGAGCATGCGCAGATGTCTGTTACGCTCTATTAATTTGTAGTAGACTGGCCACGTAGTCAAAACGAAAAATGCCTAATGTCACAGACTACACTACATACTATCAAAATAGACATAATTGTGACACGTTATGTACAGTAGAATAGAATTTAGATATCCTTGTTACAACTACAGAAATGTATGCTAACATGCTTGTACTGTAAGGAACACTAGAAGAAATATTATACCATTACCTAATAAGGAATATTGAATTGTGTTCTAAAACTCAGATAAAGTAACTTAAAGGTATAAAATAGTTAGTGTCACAAACGAACAAATTATGAAAATTCCATTAAGTGAAAGACAAACTACAAATCAAAAACTTAGTTTTTACAAGATGAGTCACCTGAATATTGAGCATAGGCAGAGGGCGCTGCCCCTGAAGCGTTCAGTGCTGCTGACTTTGGCCTTCCTGATAATAGGCCATTGGCACGGTGTGATGTAACTATTTCAGAATGGTAAGGCTCTGCAGGTGGGGGAATTTCTTTGGTTGTTGGGGCGCTCTTAATCTCTCTTCGTATTCTCCTACTTTGTGACTTTTTCTCTCGCATCATCTACATTGATGGAATGTAAATAAAACATTAGTCTTGTGCACAATAAATAAGCTGCAATTAAATTTGATGAACCATATTATTGTGACCCATGGATTAAAATAATTAATCTCTTTCAGTGTGATCGAGGACAAACTAGGAATCTAATCCAGTCAAGGAGTTCCTTTAATAGTCGGACGCAGCATATTGGATGCTAGAACTCTGCCTCACGGATGCGACAGGCATCAGTGGGAGGAATAAAACTGAACTAGTAGTGTACATGAACTTGATTTGATCATTGATTCTGAATTATGACCAATTCTAAAATAAGACTTCATAAAATTCAAAGTTGTGAGTAATTACTGAAGCCCACCTCATAAAGCTTTTCTCTGTATTCGTTAATAGATAATTGCACATCGTCATCTAATGGAGGTACAACATCATAATCTAATGAAATCTCCTCATCTGGATTATGAAACCTGAAAGACAACAGATGATAAATCAGTGACATAATTATAATATTGTAATATTACTACCTATAACTTATAGAACAGGTAATTTTATATATAATAATTTTCAAAGCTTGTTTGGCAATTATTTGCATAATGTTCTTAATTTGAGTAAAAAAATATGTTGGTAAGGTTTCTGCATACCATTGTCACTGGTTTTTGTGCACAAAGCATAAATGTAAACAACATATTCACAATTAAAATATGTATACTGTGAAAATGGCTATTTTGTATTTATGTTTCATATTAAATATATCAAGAATCAAGATATAAATTACGGTAACATTCTAAGGCCTAAAGATTCTGAAGAGCATACCTAGCAACGTATGGATGTGCAAGGGCTTGTTCAGCAGTCAGTCTCTTGTCAGGGTTGAAAGGAAGGAGTTTGGCTAGGAGGTCTATAGCATCCGCCGGTGCATCTGGCAGAATGTCTTCAAATGTTTGCCTATGCCTGCAAGAAATTTCAATTTCGATCATTCATATACTGCAAATATTAGCCAAAAATTCTGTGCTGTGAAATAATATCTACAATATAATTTGTTTTTAAGGTTTACAATATTTGGAACCAAATTGGAAATGTTGTGAATCATAACCTCTCTTTATATAAAATTGTGCATACATCTATAAATACTGCAATCCTTATTATATTTCCCTTTGATTTTGATTGGTTAATCTTAGGTAAAAAGTTGCATGTTCAGTCAAGCGTGCCACCTACCTTACGCATGCTTTGTCTAATACTGTTGCGCCATAGTTGGACTGGATCGCCTCAACATCTTGCTTTGAAGGTCTTTCAATCAGGCTCATGATTCTTTCAATTTGATTAAATGTTGATGTTCCTGGAAAAAGGGGTTTACCCTTCAATAATTCACCAAGTATACAACCTATACTCCACATATCAACTCCTTTTGTGTATCTATAAAACAAATCATCAATTGTATTATTAATAACAAATGTAATGTTTACAGAGTAAACCATGTTATGTAATAGTTTACTTTAAAAATTGGATGACGACGAGTTTACCTTTTGGAAGCCAAAAGAATCTCTGGAGCACGGTACCATCTGGTTGCCACATATTCAGTAAGTGCTGGGTTCGTGTGATCAAAGTCGTCTTCCAGTTGTGTAATTGAGCGCGCCAGACCAAAATCAGCAACTTTCAGAAAGCATTCGGAATCTAATAATAAGTTTGATGGCTAAAAAAAATTGATTTTGAATTGTTTATAAACATATAAGCTTAGAAATATATCAAAAATTAACAAACAATACTTCTTTTTAGCTCCGATGATGAGCTCTAGGAATACCCTGCTGATTGACTGCGCTTTTTTGCTGATTGACTGCTTTCTTTTTCACAGCTGATTGATCTTGCTTTTTTGTTGATTGACTGTGCTTTTTTCATTTTTTAGATAAAAAAATAACAGGCTCATCCTGGAATTTAACCAGGGACCTTCACACTATAACGTACATTCATGCCTCTAGACCAAGAAGCCATAGTTACTGTGTCTCACACCCTAAGCTACCTACATTCATGCCTGTAGACCAACGAGCTCTGGAATAATCAGCCTACTGATAAATCTTTTTTGCTGATTGACTGATTAATGGATCTTTTTTCATTTTCAGAGAAAAAAAAAATAACGGCCTTGTCTGGGAATTGAACCACGTACCTCTCACACCCTAAGTTACATTCATGCCTCTAGACCACCAGGGCTAGCTACTGTGTTTCACACCCTCTACATTCATGCCTCTAGACCAACGAGCCATAGTTATTGTGTAATTTTGATGAAGCTATAGGAATACTCAGCCGGTTGATTGATCGGTTGATTGATTGATTGTTTGATTGATTGTTTGATTGATTGTTTGATTGATTAAAAGATCAAAAAGAGTTGATAAAAAGATTTCTTGTGTGGGAGGCCATTAGGGCCAACACACTCTACTGTCTCTATTATACTACCATTATTGGAGCTTTCGAGATTACGAGAACTTGTTTTTTTATAAGCTTCATCTGTTAACTTTTGATTTACCTGGTTTTGTTTTACATTGGATGCACCGTTACGTACAAGCGCCACTGTTGTAAAAGTGTCGTTTCAAAATTAAGAATATATACTATAGAATTCTATAGCAAAAACAATATTGTAAGGACTCTACCTTCTTATCTCTATGTATGACATTTCCAGAGTGCAAGTATTTAGTTGCTTTTAGAAGTTGGTACATGATGTATCTCTTGTGTACATCCTTTAGAATTCCACCTTTCTTTATCACTGCATGTAAATCCGTATCTGGAAGAAGGATATCACGTAATATCAAAATTATGTCCTTTATCTCAGTGGTCAAAAGTCTTCCACGATTTGCAAAAGACCCTGTCTCCTAAACAACTTCAAACAAGGAAAAATAGAGAGGTTTCGCATGCGAACGAATACGCGTAAGCATACATTTAGCTGCTATCCCTAACGGTTTGTATCCATGCTGTGTTTTTCGCAATAAGAGCGAAATTTATGCATCTAGCCTTAGGCCTCGTCTAGGCCTAGGCTATTCCCAATGCCGCAGCCAGGATTTTCAAACAGTGCGGGACAATATCAGGGTGGACCCACTTTTCAAATAACGTGAACCCATTTTTCTAAAAGTTTACCCATTTTTTGCAAAAAAGAAAAATCTGGACACATTTTCTTAAGATTTTACTTAATTTGGGTTAAATATGAGAAATCTGGACCCATTTAAAAAAAAAATGTGGACCCATTCTTTGTGGACCCATTAGAAAAATTGTGTGGGAATGTCCCAGCTAACCCAACAGCTGGCTACGGCATTGGCTATTCCGTTTCTTCTCCCATCATGCTTCTCAAAATCAGATTTTGGCATGGCCTAAAGTTTTGGTATGTAAATTGGAAGCCGAATAATCCTCCTTCCCTTGTTGCCCAGAAGAGTTGGTTATTTCGTGACCCAAAAATGCCTGCCTACTATAAGCAAGGCTTAGGGAATTGTCTCACAGCAAAATAAAACAAAGAAAGCTCATTAATTCTAGTAGCTTTTCCCAATTTGGGACCCCTGTGTTTATCCTTCATGTGTAATCAAAGATAAATATTTTAAATGGACAGGCAAATATTCAGTCTTAACTTGACTAGTGAAATATTTAACTTGAATTTAATTGTATATTGAATTGCTTACCCATGAATTCAAACACCAGGTATATATCTTTGTCATTCTCCGCTTTCATAACATTTAATAACTTGACAATATTCTCATGATCACCAAATTCCTGCCAATCAAAAACAAATTCATAATAATTATAATCATTTTCTTATTTTGAATAATATTCTATAAGAATCACCTATTCATTAAGAGAAACTAATGATTACCTTACAAAAATTAAAATGAAACTGATACCGTTAAAGAAGAATGAAAAAGAATGAGTTGTAATGAGAGGGGGAATGATGAATCGGGGAATGATGAGTCATGTGCGTTTTGAGGGTGAGAGTGGAGTTCTTTGCTTGGGAATAACATTTCAAAGATACAGTGGGGATCAATCAGTTAAGATAACTTGTTGCCAGATAATTGGGAAAGGATCAAGTATATACAGGAAGTAACAAGGAGGGGAGAAATAGTAAGTATATTCAAAAAGATAGAAACTATGGAAGATAAGTATGTGTTCCTGTATGGTTGCAGAGAACGTCAGGATGAGGGTTAGAAATTGGATCCTATACATCTGAAAAGGAAAATGGAAAAGATAGGGCACAGTACTTTAAAATCAAATCACAGTGTAAAACAAAAAATGCTGAAAAAAGTTGACAACGAAACACTAACCTGAAGAAACATTATCTCTCTAAACGTTCGCTGAAAATGAAATTAAAATACAATTAAACACTCATTTAATTTAAGTTTGTTCATAGCATAAAAGAAAATTCAGTAGCACCAATTGCTCCTGTTACATTGAACTCATTTAACCTGGTGCAAAACAACAAAAGTAATGAACTTTTGCAAACACACAGACCTCACACTAGGTTAAGGATTAATGCTTTGTATTTTTGAATCAGTTGCTGATGCACACACAAAAACAATAAAAACATTCAGATTAAAAGAGATTAAACTTGTACGCTACTTTTTACACCCATGCCTACCTGTGCGTCTGTTTGATTTCGGAATGCATCAAATATTTTCTTTAAGGCAACAACCTCTCCTGTTTTTCTATCAATTGCTTTCCACACTATTCCATATGCCTGGGGAAATATCAGAATTAAAATCAATTTTTTACACTGTCATCTATAAGATATATTATAGTTTTTCCACGTTTTTATAATACAAAATGCTAGGAGAAGCTTATATTCAATGTAAAAAGGTCACAAAATAGAAGGGTACAGTTCTTCCAATTGGAAAGTAGAACAACTGATAAATTTGCCATAAACCAACCATTATGGGTAAATACAAAAATAATAACCAGGATACTCAACAGCCGACTTACACAGCAGACTCATTTCTGTGATCATAAAATGTGTCATTTAAACTATGGATTTTCCCAATGCGGACTAGAAACCAAAACGGCAATACGTCAAAATGGCAATGACCAAAATGGCAACACTTTTTTACCATAACCGCAATGAACCACAACGACAAGAAGTCAAAATGGCAATAAAACAAAATGGCAGCACTTTTTTACCATAACGACAATGAACCAAAACAAAAACAAGTCAAAATGATAATAAACCAAAATGACCAAAAAGGCCAGGGTGTATGGAGAAAAAGTTCTGTAAATTGTACTTTACTGCATAGTATTTTTTTTAAAATCTGATATAAATGTATTTGATTTAACAAATTAATTCAATATCATAACAAAATGCATTGGCCTTTATTATGATGAATCATTCAGAAATTGATAAATTATTTCTATAATAATGTACTCTACACATCATTGTTTTCAATATAGGACACTACAAACTATACTGTACTACAATATTACAAAAACACACACTAAAATGACGATGATAGGCCTAATCTAAATTAATTTCAAAAGACAGTAATTCAATTTTCCGAAACGATAACAATTGTGAAAAAAAATGGGGGGTGGGGCCGGGGTAAGCCCGGCCCCCACCCTTCTAAATCCGCCCCTGTAAAGTATTAGGCCTAGGCCCAGAGCCATACATAAAGAGTTGCGACATTCCGCTCCTCAGTTTGCGAAAGTCACATGGTATACACCATCCATTTTTGTGTCAAAATCTTCCCAATGAACACATGCAAAGTATATGTGTTAGGTACATTACACAGTATTTTGACATGTTTAATTGTGTTTATGATGTTATTACTTAATTGATAACTATTTAATATCAAAAGCACGATTTTGAATTTATCTTTAGAATTGCCTCTGTCAAAAAAGCTATGTTTTGCTCTTTACTTTTGGCCTACACAATATCAGTTTAGGGCCAATATATTGCAGCCAACTGACCTATACTATTTTTAATATTATAAATAATATTAATAATCAAATTAATAATGTAAGATTTGTGGGCTCACTCATATTCAATTTTAAAGAACAACACTTCGGACAGTGGCGTAACGATGGGGTCGGGGGCCCTGTGTATTGTTTAAACTGGGGGCCTTTTTTGGCTCCCAGTCACCAATTCCATTGTGGGATTTTAGATGTGCATTGTTATTCTAAATGTCTTTAACGACGAATAAATGATATAATATGGATCCAGAAAATTGAGGCCAGGGAGGGACTTTCACAGTTGAATCTATACCACCTCAGACCCACCATGGTTGAGGCTGAGGTAAGAAAATTTATGAATATGGCACCTTTAGATGGGTGGAAATGGCACTTCACAGACATAAAATTGTGAATATATTTTTTTTTTATCTCCAGTTAAAAAATATTTTGACAAATTTAGTGGGGCCCTGGGCCGCCGGTCACCCCCTCTCTCACTCTTTATTCCGCCACTGGATATAGTATGATAATAATGTCCTACAGTCGATTTCACACATACACATTATGCTGTTGCCCTTGTGGGGCTGAGATAAGAAAATGTATTATTATGGCACGTCTAGGGCCGGAAATGGCACTCACAGACATAAAATTGTGAATATAAAATTCTTTTTATCTCCATTTTAATTTTCTTTTTTTAGGGGGGGCCCCTTCTCTTTAATGATATATGCCCTAGAGTCGATTTCAGAGACACATTATGGTGTTATTTATCAACAAAGTCCTTTTTGGTAGGGTACCAGATTGTGGAAACTATGGGTAGGGCCACTTCGGGGCCCTGCGGACCACCGCATGAGAGCGCATAGGCGTTACGCCACTGAATTCGGATACTCTATTTACGGATCATTGAAATCGGTAAAGCCAGCCAAGGCTAAAAGCAATGGTACTGGCTGATTATTATTGGACTGCCAACACTGATTTTGATAAAGTAGGCAGGAAAAAATGATACGGCATTAACAAGACAATGAACTAGGACCAAAAAAAACTTCACGCTGAAAACTTTCTTACTGATTGCCAAATGGCAGCCACTCGTCGTGCTAGCGAACAGATTCGCTGTACTTAATTTGTGGGCTTATTTGTTGAAAAAGGTACTTTGTGAGTGGTTAAATCATGTGAACATGTTTGTTAATTATATATTGTGATTGTTAGAAGAACATTGAGGTAAAAAACTTTAAGAATTAAAAGTTCTTGCAATTTCTTAATGATTGCAAAATGGCAGCCGCTCGTCGTGCTAGCGAACACAGATTCGCTGTACTTATTCGTGGGCTTATTTGTTGAAAAAGGTACTTTGTGAGTGGTTAAATCAGGTGAAAATATTTGTTAATTATATGTTGTGACTGTGAAAAGAACGTTGAGGTAAAAAAAATTAAGAATTAAATGTTAGGTGCGAAAGTGCATTAGCGCCGCCTAGGGTTAGTGGGTTAGTTTGGTCCGGGGGTCCTTAGCCTAGGCTAGGCATACCACCTCCGAATCTTCTCAAGCCTAAGCCTAGCCTAGGCCCTAACCTCTAGGCCTAGTCTAGCGCTATGAAAGCAAAACAAAATCCAGAAAAACGCTAACAATACTGCATGACAGACTACTTACGCCTTTTCCTAATCTTTTCTTGATTTCATATTTTTTCAAAACGTGGTCTTCAATATCGGAACTCATTGCAATTGTTTAATCTTTTAGCCTCAAATTCTAAGTAAAATGCTAGGCTAGCTAGGCGCTTTCTAAAGCCGCCGTCAACTCATCGGTCTACAGCAAAGATCTGGTCTAGCGACCACCAAAACCAAGCTGTCCCACACACAACGACCATTACAAGGAAAATAGATCCTGAATATTTTGTTTTAATTTATGAATAATAACTTTATAGACTAAATTAATTAGGAAGTCTTAATCATGAAAAAATATAAGATAATAAGAGAGTAACAGATAATGATATAGGTGGTTCATGTTGAACTCTGCCACTGCGCCTTGATATACAAATTGACGAGTGTGGTGGTCGCCATTTTGTTTTTAGTCGGTTTCTCATTATTTACACAATGCCATGGTAACTACAGTTTTAGATGGCACCGAATTATAATTGATTTATCAACTTCATCTCGCTTTCAAGAGACATCTACATTACTGTAAATTTTATTACATTAAATAATATAAAAGAAATTTTAAAACATTGCTTAATTTGTAACTAGCATTTTTGATTTGATGAATTTAATTTATACAATAATAGGCTTACATACCGGTAGCGTCTACTGTATAAAATAATTTAATAATATGCAATCATGCAATAATAGAAGGCCAAAATTTGAAAAGCCCAAAAAAGAAAAAAAAAAAAAGCAGAAAAACAATCAATTTGATTACAAGAAAACTACTAAGAACTTATGTCTTGGGCTAGTAGGGCAAACAACAAAATAAAAATCATTTTGGAGCCAAGGATAAAATACAAATGATCCAACAGAGGGTTCTTTAAAAATTGACTGCATAATTAACAGAAACTGTGTTCGAATCGGATAGAATAATACAAAATAAAAAAGTGCTTATTATTATTAAGCCTACTTTTCCTTGTAATAATCGAAGAAAGGCACCATTCAATTTTCGGAAAAAAGGTCAAAGAACAAGATCAGGGTCATGGAAATTCGATTTTTTACTCTCGAGCATATATAAAATAATGGAATCGCACGATATTCAGGCAATACTAAAGAAAACAATAAGGCTGAATACAAGATACAAGATTCTTTTATTGTCACTGGTACATAAAATACAAGTAAAATTCGTCTTCCCGATGCAAAAATAAAATTAGTATAAAAGTTTGTCTATCAAATTAATCTGCTACTGATAAATTCTTCAAATCATGTGGTTAAATACATTATATACTATGCCTGAGTTCCCCCCCCCCATCCCACCTTTTGGTGATAAATGATTTAGGCGATCCAAAGTGTGCCACAATTTTATTTATAGCATTTCTGCAGACCTCTAAAGTAGGTTACATATTGAAACAACATACTGTGATCAACCGCCAGTTTCAGGAGAAAAATGAAAACGGTTTTACTATTACTAGTAATAGGCTACCGTGAAAAATGACGCGAAGCCAATGTGACCAGTGATGATGCGAATCAAATTATGCTAGGGCTGATGGGAAATCATGCTAAATTATGCCAAAAGTTAAATCTAGTAGTTATTTGAGTAACATGAAATGAAATCAACACTACTCTCAATACTAGCTGACCAATGGTACCGCCAAGATCGACGGGGATCTGATGTTTCCGACCACTGGAAGGGGTGGGGAATGAAAAGGCCGATTTTCCCGATGGGAGAAGTGTTAGAGCCATGGGATCACAGGACCTTCAAAGGGGGAAGTGGGGCGACTCTCCTGAGAAGAAAATGCCTACACATTTACGGACTCGAAAAGCTTTAAACGAGTGTCACACTCGGTAATTTTTTTTCTCCCCAACGAATTATGATTG